ACATATTTCCAATTTAAATAAATTACATTCATAAACTAGCAATTTTTTTTTTTTTTTTACAAGAAATTAATAACAAACTGTAAATGACGTTTGATCAATGAAAACATAAAAACTTTTTCAGAAGAATCAGTTAATTCAAAAATGTAACCATTTTAAAATAAAATTTTTGAAATACAAGTTCATTACTAACTAATAAGCAAAGCATTTAAAGAAAACGTATAACTTGACACAACTCATTTATCATATGTCAAAATCAACTTTAATAGTATAAAATACAAAAGCACCATCAAATAAGTATATCTAATGAAAAATGGGTACTTATCAGTTACAGGGAACATGAACCCACAAACATGTAAAAAAACACACAAAACTCTTGACTTGTACCAGTTATTAATATTATAAATAGATAGTGCTTTTAAATATTGCTAATGTGTTAACAGTGCTTAACTTGAATGCAGTGCAATATTCATTCCATTACAATGATAATCAGATTTTTACATCATTTTGCTACAATGGAAATCTGGAATTTGAAGAAGAAAGACAATCTTTTTTCAACAGAAGAAAATTTTACTGTGACAGTTTTATAGAACAATCATGCATTGTAGATAGAAGTATGCAATAAATGCCACTGGAGGTGTAATGCTTTTGGTTCTTGGTGTACTATTGATGTTTGTGTGAACTGGCCCAGAAAAGAGAAGCCCCAACACCATTTGGTTGGCAAATTTGTTTAAATGTAAGTCAATGTAAGATGGATTTTAGTCTAGAAACAACAGTCAATTTATAACATCAATATTTGTGTTAACAACAACATGGAAAAGTTGTAACCAATCCATGGTCCTCATAACTGATAAGTACAGAAGTGTATAAAAAAATCAAAAGATAAAAATATAACGTACATTGTGTAAAATCAAAATATGTGCTTGCAATAAAACATCTGAAGATAAAACCTGTAAAAATAAAGTAATAAAATATTAGTTATTTTGGGAGGACAGAGCTTTACTTGAAAAATTACAAGATATATTATATATACCATATAATTTTGCTTAGCACTCAAATATTCAACAGCAACTAGTAGGGCATTGACAGTAGCAGCTCCACTTCCTAAATTTTTGGCTGGGTCTTCAATGGTCAAAACAGCTACAAAATCTGGTATTCTTCCCTTTTTCTTTAAAAATTCAATTTCTAAAAAGTATGTTTTCAGTTATAATTAAATTTGGCATTACTTCACTGATTATGTGCTAATTATAGTTTTGTCCTAATTTTTATAGTATATTTATTTTACAAGTAGTTATTCCATGACATCAATGCCAATAAGTAAAGATGTAATGTGATTGAGTTCATCACAATAAATCTAAGAAACCACTTAAGTAGAATAAATTTTTATTTGCTAATGTGAGAAAGAGAAATCTGTAGAACACTCATTTACTATTGAAAAAAATTAATAAATATATTCTGGAAAACATTCAATAGACTTAGTATTAAAAAAATATTTATGTAAGGAAAGGGGAGTTGAAAAAATGAACCTTGAATTTAAATTCATTCACTTTAAGAAGCATGTTTTTAAATAACAAGGAGGAGATTTTATTTAAAAATTATATTTTAGGACTTAATTTTTGGTGCTACTTCATTTATTATCAATTTATCTAGAAAGAGAAAAAAAATTTCCTCCCGTCATGATGTTCACACACATCTCTTTTGCAAAATTAACTGCAATGATGGATATAAGTGAAGGCCTACTTAGTTTTCTCTGTAAAAATACAGAAAAGTATTTACAACTTATCCTTTTTATCAAAATTATTATTATTTATATAATTCTTAGAACATTATAAGGATGACAACAAAATTTTAAATTCAAATAAATTAACTTACAAAAAATAAATTTAATTTTTTGACTTATCAAAATAAAAGACAACGTGAAAAACAAATGTGAATAAAACATCGGAATAAAATATGATCAATATTTATGATGAATCATCTATTTCTGGTATTAACTTTGATTCTGCTTGGCATGGAATTCACTAATTTTCCATTGTTTGATATGAAATTTTATCTATTTTTTCTTAGGACAAGCCTTTTCAAACCATTCCCATTCAGTGCATCATGTTTCCTTACTCTACTACCAAGCTCTTTCCATAAATGTTCGTTAACTTTAAAGTCAAGGAACTAAGATGGATGCTTGAGTGTGCAGCATGTGACAAAGTACACACAGATAGACAATGTATGCCACTTGTTTGGTATCACTGTCCTATTGGAAGTATAAGTTATTACATATATCAAGTTTACAGGCACTTTGTTGAAGATTATGCATAAGGTGATTTAAGTAATCATGTTTTTCCATCATGCCATCAATGAATTTGGGTTTGCTGATGATTGAATTTCATATGCAGCCCCACAGAATCGCATCTTTACCCCTATATTTTGTTGCTGCTTGAGCACCCTTTTCTCTTAGTTCGGTTTTTGGATGTATTAAAATTAAACTGTGTTTAATGCAATGAAGTAAATGAAATTCACTTTCATCTGAAAACAATATATTTAACCAAAATAAACTACCGTTATTCAAATGCTCTTTTACAAAAGAAAGCCTTTTCTTTCAATTAATTTTACTGATACAGTGAAATATGTTTAAAGTGAAAATGCTGCAGATGAAATATCAGTTAACACAAAATAATACAACGTTCCTGACAAACCACTACGTATTTTCATACACTTTTTTTCTCTAAACATGAAACGAAAATCGCTTGACATGAAAAGATTTCCCTTCAAGAGAATTTCTGTTTTGTTCGACTGTCCTACTGTATCATCGAATCTACTAGAGTATCTACTAGATGATGATAATGTGTCTACAGCCCTAATTATGGTAGACAAAGACATTCTGAGTTTTCTAAAGCTCAAAAAATATCACTGATGAAGATTTCTATGATGAAAATGAAATAAATAATGCTATTCCTGTTCCCATGCCATTCGAAATGAGGAACACCATGAAAAGTATGCATAGCTATTTAGACTCACATTCCAATGGTGAAATGGGCAACATCGAACAATTTCTTAACAATTTAAGGCTAAACAAAAGACAATGAAAAGAAAATATCAGATTATTTTCCAAAAACTCAATATGTGTTTTGTTTTTCAAAAAACTTGAAAGTTTTGTATTAAATTTCATCAAGTTCTTGTGAATGTTTTTGTTTGATGGATTTGTATTAAATGCATGTATATACACATACATATTCCTGTAAATAAAATGTACTCCAATAAACCTAAAATTTGTTGAACATGTTTTTGTTTTTTTGTGCAATATCCTTTAACATGAAAAATATTTCAGTCCCCTCAGTTTCATGTTAAAGGAAATTCAATGTACATGATTTTTTTTGTGTGGTTATTCTAGATTTGTAATCAGCCCCATGAAGCCTTCAGGGGATAATTTTTAAATGAATTACTTAGTTAGTCTTCCTGTAAGATTGAAATTCATCCAATAAATGATAATATATACAAATAATTTGATAAATAATGTAGAAATTTTTATCAAATTATCACTAAAACAGTAGCTTTAAAGATAGTTTATAAAATGATTTTTGGATTTACTTTAACAATATCAATAACTTTTTTCTCTTCAACTTTTTTTTTTGGGGGGGGGGGGAAACATTTAATATCACAATATCAGGTAAAAAGAAATTTTAAGGAGTTCCTGCTGCATATTAACTCTATTTCACCTTCACTATCAAAAATTTCTTTCAGTGATTTCTTCTAATTATATAAATGAATGACCAGGGTCGTTTTAAGGTATAAGCCAAATGGGCCAGGGTCTCAGACTTTAGAGGGGGCTTGTCTCATTTTTTACTTGGCCTCAATAACATCAAAATCTGAATAGTCTTAATAGTCAAATGTTATTCCAGGAAATATTCTCTGAAAGACTGGGAAATATAAACTATATGCCAACTGGCAAAACTGCATTATTATGTTACATCCATCATCCATGCCTTGGCCTACTTTGGTACACCATCCTAACTCAATTAGTCAAAAGGCAGCAGTTGGTTTGTGTCTAGGTTTGTTAGTTACACACAATTATTTGTTACAGCTTACCATTTGTACAAGTATTTAACAACTAATTTATGCTATATATTGTCTTTTTAAAAGGATTGTAGGTAGAACCTACTTTTGCATAAAGAACCAGGGCCTAAAGGAGTCTTAAGATGTCCCTGTGGATGGTGAAGGCATACATAAATTACTTTTATGGAAAGGATTATGCATTTTTTTTAAATGTAAACAAAAGTACCAAGACATTTATGCCAAGAATTTTTATGCCCAGAACTAAAAATTTGTTGGTCTATGAGTGGGGTCTAAAACCCTAAATCCCATTGATGAATGTGTGTGATTATTTTTCCTTTTTCAATTCCTGCTATTAGTTGTCACCCACCCAGTATAGTGGTCGATGCTAACTGCCATGCCATAGGGCCTGGGTTTGAATCCCGGAGAAGACATGAATGTTTGTAAATGTATAGTGCCTTTGCCGTACTCTAAACAGCCATTGAGCTGCAAGTCCTCTCGTGAGGTTGGTGGCATGGGATGAGAGGTGGGAGGCCCTGACCCTCCCCAGGGTGTTCTCTCAAAATTGGGGTGGAATCGAGCTAAATCATATTGTCACCTGTATGGTGCTCAAGGCTACAGCCAACAACAGGCGTACATCTAGCCTCTTGCCATGATGAATTTCGTGGGCCTCGATCTGACTACATCAGACAGGTGGCATTAGCAACAACAACAGTTCACACTCTCCCAATACATTTATTTATATATCTTGGCTCAAATTTTCAGTTGTTAATAAAATACTTTCTGTTCATCCATTCAAGTTCAAATACATTTTTTTAAACTTGTAGTGGATGATACTTGATGTTAATACAGTTTTTTCAAATATTATAATTCATTGATTAAATCAAAAAACGAATTAATAGAAACAAACAAAAAATAATATTCCAACAGCATATATAGAAATAAAAAACATCTGTTGTCTTCCTGTAGTGCAAAGGATAGCATGTTGGACTTCTAATCCAAAGGTAGCGGGTTCGAATCCCACCTAAAAGGGCCTAATTTCTGAGAATGTGATTTCTTTTTTACTAAACTATTTTATTAGAACAATTAAATTTAACGAATTAATAAATAGTAACAAACAAATAAAAATAGTCTACCATCATATACAGAAAGGAAAATTGCATTCTATTGTGTCACTTAATATTGTGATTCTGTCATATGTACATACATATTTATATTAATTGTAACAATTAAAAAGTAACTAAAATAAAATGTTTCTTTGTTGACCTAAGTATGAATTGACTTAATTTTTTTTATTGTTACATTACTTGTTCAATTATCTCTACATGCCCACAAGTCATTTCAAAATTTCAATGAACTCTAAGCAGCTGTAATCAATCTTTCAGCACTACTTCACATAGATTAAACTATTTCTCTTTCCTCCTCTTATCACTCTGATTGATACATACAGAATGAGGTAGTAAATCTTATTTCACATAAAAACTCAATACTATGCTTTCACATTTGTCCTTTAAATTGATGATATATTTCTTCCAGCTTATTAATTAGAATATAAAATTTTTATATAGTTACTTTTTTAATATATTATAAAGGTTGTATAGATAATATATTTTTTGATAAAATTATTAATATAAAAAAATGTTCTCCATTTTTTAAAAAAATGAAGTGTCTTCACATACCCATCATTGTATGTTAAAAGTTCTCTGTCTTCTACATATTTCTAAAAAAGCACTATCATTCAAGGATCAATCATATTCATTCAAAATTGTTATATTTCTTCTTTTTTCATTTAACAGTTTTTGTGAGTTTATCCCATTCCTTTAAATAATTTATGCAATTCTTTTTTGCTTGATTTTACTTAATGTAATCATGTACTTTTTTAAAAATAATTATTACTATTCCTTCTCAAACATATATATAATTTCATTTACTTACTTTCACAACTTTTATTTGTAAAAGTTGCTTTCATATATAAAACTGATTTATTGGGATGTATTTTTTACTAAAATGATGGCATTGAATTTGCACTTGTAAGCCTTGTGAAATATACGAAAATTAGAAGGGATTTAAAGTAAATTTTACACAAAGTAAAATCTATACATAGAAATTTAGCTAACAATTCATTTTTTTAAAAAATGAATATTAACCATATTAATCCAAAATTAATCACAAAAGCATACGAACAAAAAATCTATTACTTTATAAGCTATTTAAATAAACATGATTATATATTATTGCAGACATTAATAGTACATAATAGGTGCATGTACATTCAATGCAAAAATATATGATTGAAACAAATTTCTGCCACTTATAAATCTACAAATATTAAAAATACCAAAATGGAAGTGTTGAAAAGAAATCTTTAAAAATAAAAGCATTTAAAACTTATTTTGATAACTTAAAAAAAATTATATATGAGACAAGTTTCAAATATCTTGCATGGTTAAAAAAATTTTTTATCCAAAATTGTGTATCAAATTCCTCCAGAATTAACAAATTTTTACAAAAAAAAAAAAAACCATTTTTTTGTCTAACTTTTTAAAAAATTAAAACTTTTAATAATTTTTTCTTATATTACCAGTTAAAAATCAATACTTCATCAATGATATTGTATGCAAATTATTTACATGTTTTATTGAATTATACGGCAAAGTTTTATAACACATCGTGTTTAATGCCATTTAATCCTTCTTGTATAGTTTCTTTTTACACTATAGATTTATGAATGAAACAAATCTAAATTTTTAAAGATCAATAAATAAATAGTGGAATGATCCACCCGGTTCAAGTGTAGTATAGGGGGGCCACTTGGCGCAGTCCATTTTTTTGGCGACTAAAAGTGTTCGCCAAGGTACTTTTTTCGGAATTATTTATTATTTATTTTATAATGAATTCGATATCTCACCATAACATGAAGATAAAAATCGCCAAATCCAAAGAAAAATAGCCAAATCCAAAGAAAAATAGCCAAATCCGAAGTGGCCCCCCTATACTACACTTGAACCGATCCACCCATATAAGAGAAAATACAATGTTGACAGATATTTATTTTTTTGCGATAAAAAATTTAAAAATTGAATTTTAAGCAATTCGTAAAAAGCTGCATAAGTATTAGTGCTTTCATTTCTTTTCTTTGAAAAATATATATGAGTAGCAGACCTCTTTCTGTGGCCGTTACAGATGATAAAGTTGGACATGTAATTACAATACAACTCCAAATTTTATTCATCTTTCACTGAATGAGAAATTTTGTTTCTTTTTCAAAAGTGAAATTACACGCAAACTAAGTTTTTCGACATGATTGCATCACTTAGTACATTTGAACATGATTTCGTCTGCTACAGCGAATCATGCTTATGCTTATGAAGTTGAAGTGAATAAAAAAGAAGACATTATAATATAATCCTAAATTTTAAAATAGCAACTTCTTACCACAAAAAATATGAATTATAAACTTAGTTAATAAAACAAAATTTGTGTTTTTATATCCTTTTTAAAAATTTTAATTAAATTTTTGAAAAATATGTTAGTTTTTGTTAAGAGTGCTGTTAAAAAAAATTATACGGAAATGCGTAGATCAAATGAAATGAAGTGAATCTTTTGCAAACTTCTGGTGTTTTTGATGGTATTATTTGAACTTTGGAATAAATAAGTTTATTCTGAAACTGGAAGTTGTGTGTGTGCTTCATTGCATTTCTTTCTATCATTATCTTATATTTCTCTATAGAAAAAGTAAGAATTACTTTCTTTTTTTTCCTCCGCTGTGCTCATTTTTCATGGAATTTAGCTGGTATATTTAAATGTCTTACGTAATTTGTTGTGTTACTTTTAATATTAAATTACTACATAGAAATTTATGGAAAATATATGTTTTTAATCCATAAATATATTTTAAAATATTTATTCCATTTTTGATGTGATTCTTTTCTGAGATAATACATAAGAAGCTTAATATTTGTACTAAATATATATTTTTATTTAAGTCATATTATATTTTTAAATTATATTTTGTTATCACAAAATATAAATGCTTTAAATTGAATGGCATGTGAAAAAAATCACTCATTTCAAATGTTACTTTCTAATTTTCATTAAAATGTGATTATGTCACACATTATGAAATAATTACTTATTAAATTTTAGTAAGAAACGAAGCATTGCATATAAGCATTTTTCAACATAAACAATTGGCAGTGCATTCAAAAAATAAGATGATTTATTTTAATTTTAAAGTGATTAATTCTTGATTTCAAGTGAATTAAATTTGAAGAAAGGATTTTTCAATTTTGGTTTATTAGATATTAAAAGTTTTTGTAAATATCAAAATTGAAATAAAATCAGTTTAAAATGTGTAACTGCAATAGTTATCAAATTCATATACTTTGTGAGAAAATATTGTACTTTTCAGTTACATTTTTGCAAGAACCGTCAAATGTGATAAGTCTTAAGATGAAATATCAACAACTGCAATTATTTCTTATCAATTTTTTTGCAATAATTCAATGAAATAAGTAAAAACAAGTAGTTAATAGCTTTTTTTTGTGTGTGCATATTTGTGTGTTATCACTAAAAGTGTCCCTTTGCAGGATTTGTATCTTAACTAATCAAAATATACTAGAAAAATATTTTCAGCTTATATATATTTTACTCAGTTTTACGTTGCATAAAATCTTTAAAATTTCAATAACATGGGATTTGTATCCAACTGATAATTCATTTTAAATAGGATGAGTTCAGACCGAGAAAGTCCAAAAAAGATTCTCTTGCTTTGGGGACCTCATGTGAAACCAGAGCATTTGACAGAAACTGTCAATGAGCTTAAAAAAACTGCTGGAGATAAAGGATTAGTTGCCGTTGAAAATTTGGAACGATTAGTTGTGTGTAAGTTTTTTCTTAATTTGTTGCTTGTTGAATTTTCTTTTTTTTAAATATATGTTATTTTTCATATCTATAAATTTCAGATCTTAAACTTTCTCTTTCAATATTCATTTGATATTTTACTTGAGCTGTTGGCTGCCTGTGTTTCATAATTTGCAGTATTCATTTTAATTCTAGAGAAGTTAAAACCTATTTTAGAAAGGATTTTCTTAAAGCTGTTTAATATTAATGTTATCTGGAACTTAAGACAGATTTTATTGATCTTTTCCTGTACGTTTTGTTTATGCTTATAATAAAAAAACATACTGTAATGGTCATCCCAAAACCTGATTATCAAACTAATATAAGTTGTACACTTGAGAGAGATTGTGTCTATAGAATCTGAACTTACAGTAGAATAGTCGCCATGACTCGGAACGTTAGAAAATAATTAGAATCAGAAATCATCAAATTAATGATTATATTAGACTGACTCTCCTTGCTAATGAGTTACAAAGAAGATCAATATTAATACTTCATAATCAAATATTAACTTATCTAAAATACTTGCTGATACTCACATCTAATTCTTCCAAAATGACAGAAACTCCACTCATTGCAATGGTGTCTTGAATCTGATATTGGTGCTAATTTGATATCAGGGGTAGTAGCGCCAAGTTGTTGTTTATGTTCGCCAAGATGGGCGATAATATTACAATATGGTTATCTTAATATTTTTATCGTCTGTCGATGTGGTTGCCATGGTGATAACATATATTAGAAATAACTTTTATTCGTTTTTTCCCACTGTAACCCTTTAATTTCAGACGATATCTTTAAAAATTTAACCATTTCCAGTTTAATTTTTCTATTCTTAGTGTCTTCTGTTTAATTATGGGCTATTTTCGAATATGGATATTTCTAAAATGAGTGAGTACTAGAATATTTTTTTCTTAAAAGAATAAGTGTTGTGCTTTTAATTATCGCTATAAATTATTTATTTTCGTTTTAAAAATGTTTTTTTTACTTTCTTTGTTCGATGAAATTCGTTGAAGGAACAGTGCAAGTTTCATATTGCAAGCTTTCACTACTTTGTAATTGATATTCTAAATTGATTTTAACATACATTATGTAATTATTTTATTCATAATGAAAAAAAAAATGCAATTATT